GACGAGGAGGCCTTCCATGGTCGAGAAATCTCGTCGGCAATCAAGCGCTATCTGGGTTTTTTGCCCACAAGCCTATTGAATGCTGACGCCTTCGCCTCGGTCATGGCGGCTGAGGATCTTGGCCGGTGTCTGCGGACGTCAGCTTGTCTGGCTCGGACCTTAGGTGGATTGCAAGCAGGCCTTGCATCTTCCTTTTACTCGTCCGGTTGCAAGGAGGCGGCTGCCACCGCCCGGGAGAGAGGGTGGGGCTTAACCACACTGGACTTCGTGCTGCACCATCTTCGGGAGGTTGTGGCCCATTAGGCCAGTAACCGAATGTGCCCGCGCGCACTGGCCTTGTGCTTCACACCCTCTCTCTTTGGCACCACAGAAAACGCCGAGACCAACAGCCGGGCATGCTTTACATACACCCCTACCATCTTTCTTTGCGTCTTTATCTGCAATTGCCATTTCTTAGAATAAATTCTTGTCCTTGCTTTTATTTCTCTCATGTAGGTGCTGGAACTGCTGATTGAGCACTGGCCCTGGCTGTCAAGTGGTCTGCACCGGGCTGGCAGCCAACTGGTGTCCGCAGAGGGTCTGGGACACACCTTTTCTGAGGCCTGCCTATACGCTTACCAGTAAGTCATGCACTCATCACTCCATTTATGTCCGTTTTCAAAATGTCAATACGTACCCTTTTTCTAGTGATATTTGGCTTGTTGGTACTTTCAGTACACTCGAATCTATGCAGTTATTTTCTCCATACTGGACGGAATGATGCTTTTACTGGAGACTCATTTGAAATTCCCAGTGTTGCAAGGCTGTTTAATCACTGCATTTTAGTTCAACTCAATGGTTTTACTAATTGAAGTGTTGTGCTGATAAATCTCAGTCGCGGCTTACTGAACCCTCTATTTTTAGATATCTGCGACAGGACTTCGTGCGATCGCTCTACCGCCCCCCTCTGCTTTGAACGCCTCTCCACCTGAAAGATATGATCCTCTCATCCGAGCATTCATTCCATCAGCTCTTCTTCCTCGTTTTGAATTTTTGCATTGTTTGTTTGTTCTAGCGTTCGTTTTTCCATTTTTGTTAGTAAACGTTTTTTTCCCCATACATGTGCCTTCATTCTGAATATTTGGGCATGGCCGTCGTGGTTTTTTT